GACAATAATTGTGCCCAAGACCTCTTCACTTTGCCCTTTTTGTTGAACTCCACTTTCCGTCTGGGCTCAGGGGTCGGACGTTTAGGATTTGGGAGAACCCTAAACCTCAACCCTAACCCCACTAAAGCCTAAACCAGCAACACATGCCACTCCCGGCTCGTACCCTCAAGCCCTAAACCCCGGACCCTCAAGTAAGGTACCCCTAGTGCTAGAACAACATCCCGCCATGTCCTGGTGATGGGTTCAGCCTGGCCCGGGAGACGGCCTCAGCATTGTGGGACCCTAGCATACTGCATCTTCTTTGTTGCATAGTTATGTTTTATCAGAGCATATAGACTGTGTTGGTTGCAACATAGTTTCTATAAGTTCTACTCAAGTGTCAAAACTATATTGCATGGTATCTGGTCAAAGTGTGCGGTTTGGAGTTTAGGGTTTAAGGTCTTGTCGTGATTAGCGTGATCCTTGCTGCTACGACTTGTCTGTAATACATTGTACTAGACTCGCTGTCATAGTTTCTTGAGGCACAACGTCAGCCTTATGACGACGAGTTCGGAGCTCTCGCGGAGCCCAAGGCACTCAAGGACCTTGGCTGCACGCCTATACATCCCGGTCAACAATTCGGGACCTAACCTGCCGCATTCGGTTGGGCTACGCAGAGTGCTTTCGAACTTAAGTAAACTTAGTCTGGTTCGTTCAAGCGGAAGCACCTACTTGTCTTTAATGCCTGTTCAGTCACTGGTACTACAAGCATTCGCAAGTCAGAGACTTTGAATCGTCGTTGCCGAGCAAAGGGTCCGAAACCCACTGCAAGCCCTGAGTCGCGCAGTGTTGCGGATGCAAGAATAATCTAATAGATGGTCTTGTAAGTCAACAAGATCTAACGTACATTATGAATGACAGTATATTATAAAATAGCATACACGAATACAGTACACCTCAGAGAACAGAAAGATAGTGAAATACAGAAACATGAAAGGTAATCTTAAGCCGCAAAACCCTAAGCCTTGAACTCCAAAGCGGTTTTCTAAAACCGGCGAGCAACCAACTCCTGAAAACCACGCGGTTTTTGTTTTAACGCTGGGGGTAGGCTACTTCAGGCATCAAAGGTCAAAGGGTCCTTCGGTTTGGAGTTCCTGCTAGGGTCCCTCATGTTCTGACAGTCCTTTTTGCAACTGGCCTGCAACGGCTCCGCCAGGTTCTGGCAGGG